CATAGTTGTTTGTCTTCTGATGGTGTGGTAGTGAGCGGGGGAAGATAAGCCTATCACTAGGTGCAATCTTCACATGGGACGGTGTCTTTAGTTCCGGCTAAATACAAGTTGTGTGACTCCCTCGGATTAGATAAGATACTAAGGAAGCCACTGGTGCCGTGGAGGCCTGAGGATCAAGTGATGTGTGTGTGACTGTCTCTTAATATAACAGCACACCACACAATGTCAGCTCTGTTGTGGCCGTGTATCCAATTGGTTGTATTTGCAGAACAAAAAAAAAAAGTGTAGGCATCTTACTGCACCATAATAGACAGAGAGAGAACCATAGAGTTTAACTATAAAGGACCAGGGTCACCTTGTTTATTAGATCATCATGATTCTGATTATGCTTTTACCATTGATTACATTCATTAATACCAGGAATGATGAAGCTCAGTCTTTGAGAGCCACTTTACATAGAAAACCGATGAATGAATACACTCAATAAACTAAATGAAAAAATGTCATTTAACCAGGAGCTGTCTGGATTTTGTAGCAGCTGAGTAGCTGGTCACGTTGGCTTCATGCAAATGCTAGATTTACTTGCTGAAACCTTGGCGATTTCAAAGGGGAGGAGGGAACATGGCGACACGCTATTGGCGAGTGTGTATGAGGTGTTTCCAGTTAATCCAGAGTTTAATTCAATCCTACTCCAGGGTTTTAACACTATGACATATTTTTTTTCAAGCAATAGTTCAACATTGTGGGAAATCACACTTATCTGCTTCCTGATGGAGAGTTAGGTAGAGAGATACTACTCTCATGTGTATATTGTAAATATGAAGCTAAAGAGAGCCGGTTAGTTTATCTTAGTATAAAGGCTGGAAACAGGGGGAGAAGCTGACACTACTCTGAACAAAGTTAAACTACAAAGTTGTAACATCTTATAACATTTTACTCTCCGCAAGAAAACGAACAAGCTATTTCCTCAAAGGTTGAACTCCATCTTTAATACATGACCTTTGACCCTCCCACAGACCCCAGCTTAGATACTCACACAAATCAATAAATACAAAACTCTCTGCCGCCATCCCACACCTAAAAAAAGTAAAAGACCAAAAATGAGTGAGTTTGCCTCCAGCATGCTAACTCTGATAACAACACAATTGTCAGTAGTCGTCGAATGACATGTGGCAGCATCAGTGTGATCATGGGCAAATAAAACATGGCTTTCCCTCAGCTGAGTTTACAATAAGATATTGTTCTAGCACATTCCAGTGTTGATAATACCAGACTGAGCTGAAGGACTTAATCCAAACAATATTGTGAATAAGTGGAGGGTGTCTCTCTGCTAACAAGACCCACAGCTATTCTCCTCTCCGTGTATCATTATAAAGTTACAGTGAGTACATCAAATAAACAGCAACATCTCTGTCTAATCCTATAGGCCAGGATTTGTTTAGTTAATGCTAAGACCCTTTTGACCCATTTCTGTCACCTCTAGCATGTCAGCGCCCACTCAAGACTTCCGAACAAAACACTGGTGCACAACAGCACCCACAGAGTGCACATGATAAAACAGATAATCTACAGGAACCCAGCTCCCACAGCAGTGACAGGCAGGAACGTGTTTCAGACAATGAAAAAAAACGGGGCATTAATCCTTGAGGGAACGGGAGAACAATGTCTAAGTGGATTACTTGAGGAGTTTCGTTTGAAAATATATTGAAATTTGAGGGTAACACAAAGAATTTTTTAACACCGAAGATTATTGTATTGTACATTATCATATAGAATAGTGCTTTAGGAAAAATGCCCTTTAAAAGACATGAATTCAAAAAGAAATTCCATATATTTCATGCCAGATATTTTACCTTCAACATAATGAAAGGTTTTAATTGCTTCTTGATTATCTAAACGGTTGTTCTATGTCTAACTATTTATTCTATTCTATTTATAACTATTTGTGAGCCACCACATATTAGACTATAAGCATGGGGCCTTGCAGCATGGCATTCCTCCCTCTACACAAGGGTTACAGTATTGGAGATACATCACATGTCTGCTTTAATGCAATATTAATTCTTGCCCGACCGATCTCTGAATTTATGAGCGCAGCAAAGTGCGTTTACAACACAGCAGAAAAACAAGCAGCTCAAATTAATTTAACCTAATGGGTGTCAGGAGTAATGTATTAAAACAAAGCCTCACCTAGTTCAGCTCCCTTTAAATGTACAAAGCAAAACAAGAAAGCTGTATTAAAAGTTACACTTGAACTTCCTGTCTGGCTAAACCCCAACATTACTATAGTCCTGCAGCAACACTCTTAACAGAAACTGACCAGTCTGACCCTTCTCTCTCTTAGTGAAGGGCCTGTAATGCATGATAAGTATAACGTACTGACCTTATAAAGAGAATACTTGCTCCTCTTCTTTATTTCTGATATCTCCAAAATGAACAGCCTTTTACTTTGTGGTCCGTCTTCAATGTTTGCCCCCTTTGTTAGTTATCCACGGAGTGGACAGATGGCTCCCTGTGCCCTCAGACTGGCTGGAGCGGAGGCTGGCTTTGCTATTAGTCCCTCAGCTTAGCCCAAGATAAGCCCCTACGCAGGGCAAGTGAACCCGCATCTCTTGCCTAATTCTCCCTGTCACAGCCACCAAAGAGGTGTTCCTCCGCACGGAGATCCACAAGCTGGAGAGGCCTGAGGGCAGGGCAGAGAGGCTCTTTGCCTGGACACTGTCCAGCATAGATAGAGCAAGCTACAGTTACAGCCACCACCACAACAACAAAAAAAACGCGAAGGTCTAGCCTTTTGCAGTCATCAGAAATACACACAGAGACACTGAAGGGAAGCTTTGTTAACCAATGTTGCTCTGTGACTAACAACTCTGCATGACTGCTGTGTTCTTCATTAGATTTTCAGAGAGCTTCCTGCCTGCACAGGGCCGGATTTTCTCTAAAAATAAATCTCCCTGTATGAAATCGGTGCTTTGTACAAGGAACCCGACTAATTGAGGGCTGGGAAGGACAATGTGGCGTTTGAGTTATTTAGTGATGTTAAACACAATGTCTTCGTGGGGTGCTTCTCCCCCCGTCAGTGCCTCGGCCCTCCCCCACACCAAGCCCTTCTGCCCTCGTAATGAGGCCATACTGGATACAATACAGCCCTTCTGCACTGAAAAATGTATTCAGCTGAGCTTCGAAATTGTGAAGGAAATGAATCAGTGAAGCATAAGTGGCATATTTAATTACTATTCAGTGCGTTGCACGGAGACAATGATGGCTGCTGTCAGCCTCATGGCTGTCTATCAGACATCTAAGCAGGCCACATTATATTCACTTCTCAACTAGGATTTCAATACAGCTTCCAAGTTGTATTTCTGTGATTTAAAGGGCTGGATGTCTTCATGAAAACAGACAGATGAAGATAATCCCTTTAAGTGTGGGTATTCTTCACGTTTTAAGGGACTTTTTCAGGGGTTAAGCCTAGGTCATGTTAGGATTTGAGGTTAGGGAATGAAGGTCAATAAAAGTTCAGAAAAGTATAATAAAACTTGTACAACAGTGTGATTGTGTCCGAATTGCAAACAGACTCAGAACTACAACAAAGCCGTCAGAGTTGTCAGTGACACGGTGTCTGACCCGGTATGTTACTCTCCTTTCAGAGCTCATGAGGTGATCATGCATTTTATACAAATCACTTGTGACTAATTTTCTCCCCTTCATGTTCCTTGTGTGTCAGTGAGGTTAAAGAGTCAGGGATTACATGTAATGGGATTACTGTGAAGTGATTACCTGTTGGTGTAATCGGTTACTATTACTGAAACCAGGGTAGATTTCAAATTAGGAACATCCTGAAAAATGAAAAGAAATTGAGTCATTATTGCACTACATTTTTAGCAAAATTCAAAGAATGTAGAAGGATAAATGTGATATACTCATGGTTATTTCATCATTATCTGTCTTTGGCTTTAATAACACAGCAGGTCTAGCAGCTTGACATAAAGTAATCATTACACTGGAATAATGTGAACTAATCAATATTTTTTAATAAGATTTTGAACACCAGCCGTCCTAATTAACTCCTTTATGCACATTGTGTGTCAATGAGGATAAAATGTGGACTATATGTGGTGGGGTTACTGTAATGTGATTACTAAGACATTTGATAAAATCAGTTAAAGCAGTATAAATGTCAATGCAACAATGCAATCATGCTAAATGGCTGTGAAGGATAAATATAATGTTCATGTGGTTCTTTCATCAACATCTGTGCTTAACTTTAATGTCTATCAGACATCTTGAGACACCAGATACATTTACTTCTCCGGGTTTCAATACAATCCCTGTTATTCTTTGATTAAAGGAATCAAATGTGAATTAATGAATTACTGATAAATAAAATGTCAATCTTCAAGTTTAAGACCAAGAGCAGCTGTTAAAGAATGAATAAATTCAACATACCTTAGAAACTAATGAATAATCATATTTTATAATGCTTAAAATCACAACAATACATCAACAAATCAATACATGTTAAATACTACATACTGCACAGCATTAAATATGTTCATTAAATATTATTGTATTTCTGTGACACGTTTATAAGTATTAAATGTTTGTGAGACATATATGTATCAGAATATATGTCCATAATGAAATAATGAGTGAAATAATAAGTTATCTTACTAACTTTTCAAAATAACTTCATCTGTTGTTACTCATATATGCTCTTTAGCCATGTTAGCTGCTGTTAGCTCACTGTTTATATTCCTAACACACTGACAAGAGGAGGAGAAAGCTAAAAAAAACTAGCTTGTCACATGACGGTAAAACGTTTATAGCAGCTGAGCTTCAGCTATAGTCAACAAGCTCTGTGGTTTCCTCTAGCTGAGTGTCCACTCCGACAAAAAAAACTCAGTCAGTCAGAGACTAAGTTATAACTTGTCATGTGCTATCACGGCCGTGTAACCGCCCCCCTACCAGCAAACAGCCGGACTTCAGACGGACGAGGACTATAAAGCTTAGACTTAGACCCAGCAAAATGTCAATGAGGACAGGACGGTGGTTTGTGTGTGTTGAAATGGCTGAGGCATCAGCAGTCCCGCGGTGTGTTCTGTAGCTCTCAGGGTCGATGGATTTCCAAAACCTCTGCACTTTTGAAACTTTCCAGCAGGTTTGGACTCACTACGGTTATGAGGCGGATTTAGAGGAAGTGATCGAGCAGGAGTTCACACGAATTAAAGGTAATGATTATGTCCAGCCCTGAGCAGACAGTGACAGGGTTAGTGGTCGCTAATGGCTGCTCTTTTCATTGTAAACAGGAATAACATATCTGGATCATGCAGGAACTACTCTGTACCCAGAGTCTCTGGTCAGGGACTACAGCTTGGACATTACAAGGAACGTTTATGGTGAGGGGAGTCACATTGAGTGTGATTTTATGTGGCTCTTTATGTTTCATTCAAACATTAAATTTAAAGCCTTGTAATAAGTCTTGTTATTTTCCCCAATAGGAAATCCTCACAGCTATAACCCCAGCAGCAGACTGACACATGACACCATGGAGAGGGTCAGATACAGGTAAAGTCCATTCATGGCCTCAGAAACCCTCATAATGAGCCCCTGTGAAAACTTTGAGTTGTACTTTGATGGTTCATATGAGTAAAAAGCAGAACATTTTCTTACAGGGTATTGCAGCATTTTAACGCCCCCTCGGAGGAGTACTCTGTGATTTTCACTTCTGGATGTACAGCCGCTCTCAAATTAGTGGCCGAGAGCTTTCCCTGGAGGCTGCAGACTGAAGGCGAGGCGGGGAGTCACTTCTGCTATCTCACTGACTGCCATACCTCTGTAGTTGGCATACGAGGACTGACTTCTAGCCAGGGAGTAGTTGTGCTGCCTGTCTCCCCGCAGGAGGTGGAAAACAGGGCAAAGGATGTGGCTCAAGGTGAAGATGTTATTTGCCAGACGCTGCACCTCTTCTGCTACCCAGCACAGAGCAACTTCTCTGGGAGGAAGTATCCCCTTAGCCATGTGAAAGGCATCCAGGCGAGACGCCTTTACCCAGCATGTGACCACCGAGGCCGCTGGCTTGTGCTGCTGGATGCTGCCTCTCATGTCAGCTGTTCCCCTCTAAACCTACAGGACTGCCCCGCTGATTTCATTCCCATCTCCTTCTACAAGATGTTTGGCTTCCCTACAGGGCTGGGGGCCCTTCTTGTCCGTAACGACGCAGCAGGCATACTAAAAAAGACTTATTTTGGAGGAGGCACAGCAGCAGCTTACCTTTCTGGAGAAGATTATTATGTGCATTCAGCAAACATTTCTGACAGGTGAAGTACTGTACAAGCCTGCCAAATCCTAGATATTCTCTCAGCTCACAGAGGCTGTATAGCTCCTGCATCCGTCTTCTAAAATGCAATGTTTTCTTCTTCGTTCTCCCTGATACAGGTTTGAAGATGGGACTGTCTCTTTCTTGGACATTATTGCTCTAAATCACAGTTTTGACGCTCTTTACAAGATCACAGGTATGTAAATGAGCATGCTCATTCATAGAAAAACTTTAACACCCCCATTTAGTAGTCATAATGCATACGCAGGTTGTTCATAATGATAAGCTGATTCAGGTTAACATCAGCAGCATCCCCAATCCTTATCCCTTTTTTGCCTTCAGGGGGCATGCACAACATCCAACAGCACACCTTTGGCTTGGCACGCTACACTTACATGCTGCTGTCAAGTCTTTGCCATGGCAACGGGAGACCAGTGGCTCGAATCTACACTGACGGCCAGTTTGAGAGTCCAGGCACACAGGGCGCAATCCTAAACTTCAACCTCATGGATTCTCATGGACAGATAATTGGGTATTCTCAGGTACATTCAGGGACTTATTTCTATTTCACAAGAGTTTCATCACTGCTTGTATATGCCTAGGCAGCGCTTGTGAATATTCCCACAATTACTCTGTTTTCCTCAGGTGGACCGAATGGCCAGTCTGTACAATATTCACGTGCGCACGGGCTGCTTCTGCAACACCGGGGCCTGTCAGTCTTTCCTCGGGATCACCAATCAGCAGATGAAGAGAAACCTGCAGGTATGAGATCAAGGGATAGGAAAAATGTCAAAGTCTGTTAAGGGCAGGATAGGTAAAACACAAAATTGTCTTCTTCTCTTCAAGGCCGGCCACGTCTGTGGAGACAGCATCGACCTGGTGGACGGCCAGCCGACCGGATCTGTTCGCGTGTCCTTTGGCTACATGTCGACATTTGAAGACTGTCAAAAGTTCCTGAACTTTGTTGCTGAGTGCTTTGTAGAGAAACCGGTCACGGTGGATCAAGTGCGACTCCAGAAGCTAAAAACAACAACAGCAGCGTCCGAGGGCTCAAATGAAGATCCTCCTATCAAATTGACTAATGGAGAAATATGTAAAGTAGATGAGAAGGAGCCCACAGCAGCATCACTGAAGGGATTTGGACACCGAGACTCAAACAGCCACGGGGAGGCTTATACTCTCACCAATATCTACATATATCCCATCAAATCGTGTGCAGCATATGAGGTTTGAGCACAACACAACGCTATCTCTCCATCACTTTTTTTTTTCCATCGCTGTCTCTCCTATTTTGTTCCCTCTCTCTGTTTTGATTTCGACTCTGTGCTGTTCTTCATGCAGGTCCACGACTGGCCAGTGGGACCGCTGGGTTTACTATATGACAGAGGCTGGATGGTGGTGAATGGAAACGGCGTGTGCCTGAGTCAGAAGAGAGAGACACGTTTATGCCTCATTCGCCCACAAGTCCACCTGCCCTCAAACAAATTGCTCCTGCAGGCATCAGGTCAGACAGTCTGTCAGCGGCGCGCTGAAAATAAAAACACCACTTAACCATACGAAATTTCAGTCAGTCATTTTTTTTTCTGCGATAAATTCTCTTTGTGAGAGGATTTTTTTTCATTGCCCTGCAGGGATGGATACCATTTCTGTTCCCTTGGAAAACAACGCTCAAAAGCATCCAAGCTACCGGGTGTGTCAGAGTAAAGTTTGTGGTGACAGGTGAGCCGGCAATGTTAAAACATCTAAAAGTAGCAGCTGCAGGAAATACTGTCACACATTTCATTTGTTCCATATTTTTCACTCATATCAATGCATTCTCTCGCTCCATTGTTCTTGACACTACATTTCTACAGTGGATGACTTTATGTGGCCTCCCTCTCTCTCTCGATTTCATATGAAATTCCTGTTTTTTTTTCTTTTTACCATTTTTAAATGGAAAAACAAACAATGACCAAGAGATGACATTAATGTCCTCTGACGGATACCCGCATGACGAGTCACAGGATAAAAAAAACTGTTCATCCAGTCATTCTTGGATTAGATGTCGCACCAAATAGTAAGCAACATCAAACTCAGTAGATTTCCCTCGGGGCCTCCTGAATATAATCCTCCTCCTTCCCCCAGGGTGGAGACTGTCGACTGTGGGGATGAGGCTGCATCATGGCTTTCAGACTTCCTTGGACAGCCATGCCGCCTGATAAGACAAAGTCCTTATTTCACCCGAGACATCAAGAAGAGGCCTAGCGGAGGTATATATAAGCATCGTACCTGTTCAGCCTGGCTCTTCTTCCTTTACCCTGGAGTCATCTGTTATACTGTACATGAGCAATACAAGGTCACATTTCTTGCAAATAGTCCATGTTGTGGCTGTGACTTTCCATTCCATGCTGGTGGTAATTTGGAATTTAGAAATGTCATATTTTTCTGTTTTTGCAAGTTAAGATGTTTTCGAGAAATAGTTTATTATGTAAAAGCAAATGAGAAATTGAGGCAGAGGTTGGTTCATATGACATATGACATATGACATATTGGAGTGGTTCCTACTTGTTCCTGGAAATTACAATTTCATTAAAATATCCCTACACAGGTTCAGCTTTTAACACCTGAACACCACCTGTTGTGACAGCTGTCTTAACTTAATGGGTAAATGGTTACAATAGATAACTACAACTAATGGCTAAATGATTACTATAGTAAAACAAAATTGCTCAATAGTTGAAACAGTTTGCTAAAAGTAATGGCTAAATTGTTTAAATAGCTAAAATCAATGAGGAAATGGTTCAAATAATTAGCTAACAGTAATGGATACATGGTAGATATGGCTATAAGTGATGGGTGAATGGTTGAAATAACTTAAAGCAATAAATGGTTGAAAAAGGTAAAAAAAAAAAAAAGGATAAGTGATACTAATAATTAAAATAGATAGCTTCTGCAACTTCAAGTGGTAGCATGAATGCATCTATACAACGCATTTATACATCTAGCTCAGTGTTATGGGTAAAAACAGTTGTATAATGTTGTCTGGCTCTGAAGGAGCTGTGAAGTCGGAGCTGCCATAAACTGTTTCCAAATTGAGTTTCCCGAATAGTTACTATATCACAATATACTGTATATTGATATTTGACAAAATAATCCAATCAAGCCGTTGTGGAGCTTTTCAATTCAATTACACAATTTATCACTTGTCAGCTTGAAAGTTACATACCTGGTGATAGAAGATTCGACCACCATCGCTCAACTGTTATTCATGTGTGTTGAATGTTGAACATTTTGATCAGCAATGATAAATTCACTGAAGTCACACATTTTCCTCTCTCTCTGTATTACAGTAGAAACTCAATTTGAAGGCTCTTTGGGGAGGCACATTGTTCAAAACGAGAGATCAGAATGTTTTGCTGAAAACAAATAAATCGCTGGGGTAATATAAAGTCTTTCCCTTCTAGCTGCCTCCTCCGCGTCCCTCTCCCTGGTGAATGAAGCTCAGTATCTCATGATCAGTCGTGCCAGTGTGGAGCTCATTCAGAAAGAAATGAGCAGCAGGTTTGAACACATAATGAGTTATTCAAAATAAGCAGTGCTCCACAGAGAAACATCCGGATGTGTTGACGCCTGTACATTTACATTACAGTAGATCATTTACGTCGGGGTAGAAAACTAACGTGCAATTTCCACATTCCCTTTTCTCAGGCAGGACTATTCTGAGGGCAATCAGCTCCTTGACACACAGAATGTCATTAGCCGCTTCCGAGCCAATTTAGTCATCACTGGAGTAGAACCATTTGAGGAAGATAATTGGTCACACTTGATTATTGGCAACACTCAATTCGTGGTGAGCTGACACTTTGAGATAAATGATGAAATCTTCAGATGCATTAAAAGCGGATTTCTCAAAAACGAATGTGCTCCCTGTGTGATTAACCCAAAGGTTGCAGGTCAGTGTGGAAGGTGCCAGATGGTTGGAGTAGACCAGGAAACTGGGACCAAAACAAAAGAGCCACTGATGTCCCTGTCAGCTTACCGCAGTGGGAAGGTGAGTCAAAAACATTTGTGTGCTTGTGTAGTGGTGCATGAGCATGAAAAAAAATAATCCCTTTACCTGTTATTTTGTGGATCTTTAGGTGACCTTTGGTGTGTACCTGACCCATCAGCTACCAAAGGGTTCCCCTGCAGCCAGTGTCCTCACTGTTGGCTCCCTCCTAAAGCCAGAGTCAAAGGGTTCTTGAAGTGGTCATCTGCATCAACATCCTCTTTTATTTATTTTGTCAACATATTTGATGTAGCAGTCATTTCTGCACTGCATGTCCTAAAGATCACCTGTCATACACTGTGGGGTGTTTCTGTAGATGCTGCTCTTTTCTGTCTGTGTCGCCCTGATGTCTTTTGTCCTCTCAAGCATCCTTTTCGTGCCTGAGTGTTCAGATTTTATTCAATCTGAGTCTGTTTTGATGGGAAATTAATTAGATTTCTGGATTTTTCTCCCATGGTGATGTTTTTAAAGTGTGTGGAGTAAAGTAGATGTGAAGCATTAATTGCATGACAAAATTAGAAATTGAATTTTTTACTGTTATTTTAGCCAAAACATGTCAGGCTTGATGCTTTAATCACTGTTCAAGTTAACCTCCCAGACAGTTCTTCCACTGTTTCTCCCCATGGAGGTTTATATTGCTATTTATTCCAAACACAACACTGTTGCTGCTGCCAGAGATCTGAGACATATTGCTCCTTGTAATGAAAAAAAAAAAGGCTACCAGACACTCAGCGCTCAGTGTATGCTCCCAAAGTGATGCTGACTTGGACATAATAGTTTGTCAGAAAGCGTAATAATTTGAGGTAGAAGATAGAAAATTTGTAATTCCTGAGAAAAACAGTGAGGTTAGACATCTTGGCACCAGAAATTATATGTTCAGCTTGACATGCTTGTACATAAAGTACGTGTGTGCTCAAATGATCTGTCAACGTCTTGCAGTTAAATTGGTCCTATATGCTCACCTGTGGTGCAGTTACAAGAGTGAGACGAGGTGGTTGCTGTGTATCCCAATGTTTCGTACTGCTAATAGCATGTTTGTCAGTATGTGTGTGCCCAAGGCCTCCCAGACAAAAGCTGAACAAAATATATAGACGGATGACAAATGAAGTAAAAGTAAATGCCTATCTAATGTGGTGTTATGCGGTATTTCGATGACGGTGGTGGACAGTGCTGTCTAGCACGTCACTCCCCAATCCCGATTTGGTTGAGATCTGGTGACTTCATAGGCCATCGCATATGATTCACCTAATTTTCATACTCATCAACTCCTTCGGTGACTCATCTGCTCTGGTTGTTTTTTTTAATATGCCACATCTCTACCTCTTACAAATACACAGACTCTTGCACTGGTGCAGCAGTCTGTGCACTCTAACAATGATTGTTGCTGAGAAGTTTCTAATTGTTTTTAATCAGTGATGTATGTGTGTTTGATTTATTAATTTTTTACCATGAACATTTAAAGTGTGAAATAAAATGAATAGATTTCCAGAACCTTGCAAAATACCTGATTTTAAATTAAATAAAACAGCAGAAGGCATTGCGTCGTATATATATTTCCATGTATAATTGTATGATGTGATTTGTATAATAAAACATCTACTATAATTGTGTTATGTGTCACATAACTTTAAGTATGTTTAGTTTAAGTATGCTTTAGCTTATTAAGTGTATACTGTGCCCTATTTAAGGTAGCGTCATTTGCACCATGTATTGTACTAAACGAATATATGTAAATAGTGCTACCTTAACAATCACAGGTCCCGCCTCTTCCTTGCGACTCAACTACTTTGATCAACCTCTTGTTAGCTACTAACTAAGTGTCAGAAGAAGTGCTTATATATTGATGTGTATCTTACCTATGTACTTATGTTAGCCCACACGATGAAGAGAAGGGTCGTTAAACAGAATAATTCATCTTCCGAAGTCAGTGAAGCTCAGAGGACTGATAGAGTCCAAAGTGCATCGTAAGTTAGCTAGCTTACTTCACTAACCGTTAACTGTAACTGTTGGGAGTTGCGGAGTATTTATGCGGTGGTTGTAATTTTGTTATAGTCTGGGGTGAAGTAGGTCTGAGTTTAGTGCACATATTACCACTAACTTTCTCTTCAAGTTACATTTTTTTTGGATATAGTTAATGAGTGACGTTACCTAGGTGGCATAAAACGGGCATAAAACACGTTTTCTATTTGTCAGTTTGAGTTATTCAGTGTAGGTTGAAGGGGAAAATTGCAAATTGTGACAAAGGGAAGGGGTGTGAATACTTTCTGAAGTTGCAGCACTTGGAAAAACTGAGCAGAATGAGCAGACATCTGTTCTGCAGTAAACCTAAACTTCAGGTTGTCTAGTTAACCAAAGGTAGTATTACATCACGCTGCAGCTGCACATTCATCAAACTTCTGATATGAGGTTTCTCACTCTCTTGTAGAAAAGATTTGGAAGTGAATATTAAAGTATAAGAATTAACTCTTGAGAGATGAGGCGACAGTCTGATGGCTGCTGGAATAAACGACCTCCTTTATGGTTCCCCTCCAGCAGCGTGGAGAAATCAGTCTTCGATTAAAAGGGCTCTTCTAGCTGATTAGAGTGTTAATGGAGGGGGTGGGATGTATTGTCCATTAATTAGCAATAGTCTGAATAGCATCCCCTTTTCTGCTGTTGCCTTCAGGGAGCCAAGACTAACTCCAAGGACAGCCTGCTATTCTTATTAGGTTATTAAAATCTACTCTCCCACATTAATGTTTCCATGTTAAGGCTGCAACCTCAGACTTGTCAGACCTGTGCGGAGCTGCTCAGTACATGCCAATGGGCCTGAGTGTGCATTCCCATGTACACTTGCTGCATCATCTTCACAGTCCTTCCCCATGGGAGCTGCTGTCCACGAGGTCCCAGGAGTCTTGTTTTTCTCAGGTTTTGTCTACACGCAGCTACAGGTGGTTCAACAAAGTCACCCACCACACCCCCATCCTCCTTTCCCTTTTCCTGACGCTGAGGCAGTTGAAATGAAGCAGAGGTAGAGCCGAGGTCAGGTGTGAAGTGGGTGAAGAGGAGAGTCGGGAGTGATACTTTTCCAATGCTTCCTGGTGTTGATTTGACGTTGTGACTCTTATTCATATTGGACAGGTGTTGATTAGGGAGTTTGAGCTGATCTGGCTCTGAAGAGGGGATTTAACATCACCAATAATCAATAATAATTGTTGTTAAATTAACATATGGTGATTCAGTCTATTGTAATCTTGTTTTGTTGGCTTAGTAATAAAACTTAGAACAAACACTTGAGTCACTCTGAGACCTCATGGAGATTGTTGAAGGGCCCATAGAGGGTCCTCAGCCTTTATTGATATAAGATCTGTAAGACAATGATTAGGTAGTCAGTAATCACATTGTTTTATTTCTCTCTCTGCCTGTTTTCAGGCCCCGATGCTCGCTGAAAACAGGTGTATTGGCCGCCCTTGTTATTTTCATTTTGGTGCCTTTCTCACTAAGAATACGCCCAGAATTAATCCAGCACCTTGTTTACACTCACAGAAGTAAGTGAATACCCTGCCTGTCTCTTGGAAGTACTGTAAATCCTCAGGTTGCTCACAAAAAAGGAGACCCACCTCTCTTCTTTTCCTCTTTGTAGTCAGGTTGCCGTTCTTTGTTGACCTCAGTCGACCTGCTGATCTCTCCCTTAATCACACCATCAACATGTACTTAACATCAGAGGAAGGAATCTCCCTTGGCGTATGGTGAGTATAAGCCAACTTCAGCATTTTTTCTCTTTTCCTAGCATAGGTGTAGAAAGGCTGAGAGAAAAGGACAATACCTGTTTTTTAATGATCTAATTATCGGTTGTGTCTCTAAGCTGGTTTGTTGTTTTGAACTGTTCAAGGCACACTGTCCCTGAAAGTCTGTGGAAAGAGGCTCAAGGGAAGGACTTGGCATGGTACCAGAACACTTTAAACCATGGAAGTCCAGTTTTCATATATCTTCATGGAAACACAGGCACAAGGTATGATAAATAATGCATTGGTATTATAGTTGAAGAAGCAGAGAGTATTAGTTCCACACCACTAGACATATTTGTTCTTATTTTTATTTTTTATTTTATTTTTGGAAAAACACTAATTTATTGGCACTTGTGTTGTTTATGAATCATTTCAACAGGGCAGCCACTCATCGGGTGGGAGTGGCAAAAGTGAGTGATCACCAACACAAACATATTAATCTTTTGGCGGTCTAATAAAGATATGAAAGTCTCAGCAGCAATTCTAATGACAAATAAGCATTATGTGTCAACAGGTATTGAGTGCACTTGGTTACCACGTGCTGGTGCCTGACTACAGAGGTTGGTGCAAATGAAGATTTATGACTCTTCTTTTGAACATGTTTTCCACGTCTATGCTTCTTCCCCTTCTTATTGATTGTAATAAACAACCTTCTCACATTGATTTAATATCATTTGCAGCCATATGATCACTGTAGAGTAGAGTGGCTGTGCTTGATGAGTTGTTTGTTGTAAGGCAGTTAAAAGCCAGCAGTTCAACTTTAGGTCAAAATTTAGTGCAGGTTTTCCTCTGAGTGACTGCCACCTTGTGGCAGAGTGAAGCAGCTCTGTGTTCTGACAGTGAGCTGTAGTTGATATGAGAAACTTTGGCAGGGTTTGGAGATTCCACTGGGGAACCGACTGAGGCCGGTCTGACCACTGATGCACTCTACTTGTACAACTGGGTCAAAGCACACAGTGGAAACAGCCTGGTTGTCATCTGGGGACACTCTCTTGGCACTGGGTGAGTAGGAAACGACTCCCAATCTATAACATTGTACACACACTCACAAAAGTAAAAATGACTCAGGTCAGGTTAAAAGCAGGCATTGATGCAGCAAAAAAATTACTATTAGTAAACTGGAAGTATCCATCGTCCCCTTGTTCCAAGAGGTGGCTGAATGAGATGCCTTCTATTGTTAAGATGGAACGGATTCATTATAGCAAACTGAATTCACAAAATCTTTTCCAGCAGCCATTTTTGACATGGCTTGATAAGACCTAACTGTATAATCCACGAGCTTTGCTGCTATGTTGTAGCTCTACTCTGTGCAAGTTCTGTCTTATTCTGTGCACTGACTGATATTCTGGCAGTCCTCCAGTTTGTTTTTTTGTTGGTTTTGTGGGAACCTTTGATTCTCCTGGCAGACAGGGCAGTCTCCTATCTTGCCTGTTTTTTGTTTGTTGATACTTTTTTATTGGGAGTTTTGGATATGAATCATTGCCTTTTTGTTAATTTGTGTAATTGTACTGGGTATTGGGTGTGTTTGTTTGAATGTGAAAAACTATAAATAAAATAATCACAAAAAAAAAGACTGTTGCATTAACAGTTTTACTCTTCTTTGAAATCTGGAACTTGGAACTTTGAATTAACAGACTGCAACATTTATACTTTAATTCATAGCTAGTCATGTCTACACAATTGACTGTCTTAGATATTAGATATATATAAAGCGAGTAGGTCACGTCCACAGTTTGGACTGATGAAAAATACAATGTGTTACAGGCAGGTCCTGCTAGAAACTGACAGATCTCACCATATTCAATAGTACAATTTCTAGAATAAATAGTAGAAATTATGACTATAAGTGACAAAAAAACAAATCACCTACAGGTATTTGATTAGTTATAATCAGCCACTTTTTATTCATGTGCTTGCACAGTGATTAACAGTTATACCAAACAACTGACACTATCATCAGTAGAATACATCATACATTTTGACAGGAATTGTTGAAATTTGCCCTCAGCTACAATAAACCTGCCACTGTCAGAAGTAGTCGAAGAGAAAAGTGTTTAATAATTGCAAATAATAACTGTTCAAATAATACACACAATTAGAGAAACTGAAGATGTTGCTCCTCATATCTCTGTGCAGAGTGGCCACTAACACTGCAGTGAAACTGATTGAACAAGGTAGGCTTTTCTACCAGTGCAATATGGCAAATAGAAATAAGAGGAAATTATTTCAAGATTTCAAAATATCTATTTCCTCTTGTTTCCAGGTGTGGCTTTGGATGGTGTGATCCTGGAGGGCGCATTCAATAGTGTTCGAGAGCGCATTACAGTTCATCCTTTTACTTGGGTAGACTCAACTAACTTAAGCCATTTTTGATATCGGATTTGTTCATTTCATGCGCCTGCTACTAAATAATAAACAATGTTGTATTTCTCTCTCTTTGAAGTATTACTGGACGTTTCCAGGCACTGGCTACTTTTTCCCGGAGCCATGGGCAGAAAACAAGGTTGTCTTTCCTACTGAAGAAAAGTAAGCATTAATGAAAACCTATACACGGTAGTCAAATACTACAAACATTGATCAGCTAATAATATTGTTACTAGCAGTAAAATACAATGACGTGATTTATTTTTTTGTGCTTCTGCAGTCTGAAGAAAATGAGAAGCCCGATACTTTTCCTTCATTCAGAAGACGATCACTTGGTTCCCATTCAGATTGCTCAGCAGGTATTACTGGCACAGAAAGCTACTTTTCATCTAATCCAATGTAAACTGAAGCAGTGTTTTCCTTGCAGCTGTACCTGATTAGGTGTCCTCTCTGGGATAACTTTTTGCTATAGTTTTTTCTTTGCCTTTCTCTCCCAGATGTATGAGGTGGCAGCGAGCGCCCAGAATGCAGAGCGAGTCAAGCTGGTGTCTTTTGACGGTTCTCTGGGGTACCTGCACAACGGCTTATACAGAGACCCCCATCTGCCTGACATCTTAAAGTGAGAAAACATTTTGCAGATAATACTTAAAGTGATTATATCCCGGCTTGGTAACTCTGTGCCTGTTTGATTTGCACGACATGTACATCTCACCTTGTCATTTCTCCTCTGCAGGAAGTTTGTGATGTCATTGTAATGTGGGGTGGACGACTGAAAACAGGAAAAACGTGCCACACTTCAGAGTTAGAGCACTGATTTGATTTCAGCGTTTTACTTTGTCTTTACTGCTGCATATATGTTGCATAAATATGTGATCCAGAAGGTCTGTGTTGAACATCTGTTATTTTAAGGACAAATGCCAAAGTTGTTCAGGCTAATAGATGGTAAAATTTTTTTTTTCAATCGGTTAAGATGCATGAAATTGTTAACTACTGATTTTTTTAAATCTGTAAATGTAACTTATTCTGATTTAACAAAACTAGAAATAACTGGTTAAAAATGTTTAAGATGCGACATTACTACAGTAGGTGCCCTTTGCTGGGCATTTTTGTGTGATGATAATGCTCATCTATAATACAAGATAATCAGTTTGTTAATCCAAGGCTTTAGACATTGAGATGTCAGTAACATTTCAGAATAATACAGGGAGAGCAGCTGGAAAACATCTGTCCTCTGAACTTCTTATCACAAATGTGGTTCTAGAAAAAACACAAATTCTAGAAATTCTGATTTCTGTCAGTTCAACTATAGAATATAAAATGCATTCATATAAGTTTAAAGAATCTCAGTTCATATGTTGTTGCAGTTTATTACAATAAATTTGATGACACCCACTGTCAGCAGCTCATCACGTCTGTCTTTCATTTCACGTCACATGAAAACACACAGTAACGTAATGGTGTCGTTTGGAAAAAATCTGGAAGAGCTATCCACTTCGTATTTTTCACATAACACTACTTCATTTCTAATTGGTTCTCATAAATAAAGTAGTCAGGGTTGATTTAGGTATGTGTTGCACTGTTGCAGCATTGAATCTGTTCAACCACCTGGGTTCATCTATGAACCTGAAAAGTAAAGAATTATGTGGAAATCTACAGTATCAAGAGAATTTGCCCACAACAAATTTGATTTTGTCAGATATTCACAAAGCTGTTTTCTCTTAATTAAAAAAAACTGTTACCTTGGACTGATTTCTGTTCATGTCAGGATCTTAATTAACACTTCTTATTGAACCATGTTTCCTCTTTAACTTGTAGTATATTATGTAGTCTACTTTGCACTGTTTCTCAATAGAACAGAGGATGTAACTTTCAATAAAGCCGTCCAGATTAATTTATCACTGTTACTTGTACATTTATATACAGGATACTGACACCAAATGGATTTTTTTACTTTGATAACTTCAAATCTTATTCAAATTTCAGTTTCAGTCATGTATATCAGTTTTCATAATTGTTAAATGACATTTTTAAAGCTCAGGAGCACGTATAAGAAGTCAAAGATGAATCTGTCTCCTTTGGAAGACAATAGGTGTTTATTAACCCACTTTTTTAGACTGATATCCTCAAAGACTACTGCATTGTCTTCAAAAGAGCATGTGCCATTTTTATTATATGAGTTATGGTTCTGATAAAGGATGTACAAACAACTTTGTTAATGGGTCACAAACTGAAGCCTTAATGTTTCTGGCAATAGGAGAGATATGTTACCAAAAAATTAAAATTAGGTCTTAACAAGCGGTATAAGTTGTAGGCATTATCCTCCGGGTAACATAAAATGGCAATACTCAGAAAATGAAAGGCTGGGGTTGTTGTGAATGCCTTAAAGTACACGTCAATGCATGAGAAGCGACATATTGCTCAGACAACTTTGTCCTCATTCGGAGACTCATCAGAAAGTGAATAGACCCGTTTGTGTTGCGCGGGGATCATGTTTCATGCACCAGCTCTGTCAGAGCTGAGGTGAAGCTCCAGTCTTGGCAGTCGGATGACGTGGCTGAAGGTTGCGGACGATGCGCCGACACAGTTTCTTTATTCGCCGTTTGATTCACCGCTTTCCACGCTGACTGGAGGCTTTGAGCCACGTGACTCGATTCAGCCAATCCTATGTGCGTACGGTGAGCGGTCATGAAGCGCTTACGCCATATGCGTACGAGAGCATCCCTAAAAATTGCCTCTGTCATACAACCAGGAAGAAGGTGGGATAGCCCTGCAAAGCTAACATCCCAAATCTTTCTGCATACTTTCTCCAAAAATAATGGGATCTTCCAGGTGGAAGGTGGCAGCGGCGGCGTTTCTCGCTATAGTGGGCTCCTTATTACCTGTCGACGCAGATGAACATGAACACACGGTAAGACTGCCTTTGAGAGGCCGATTGAAAAGGGGGAGCCTTGAAAATAATGGACGTTTGTGCTCTGTGTAACCTGCTAACTGTAGCTGCGGCAGCTAGCTGCACACGAGAAGACAGAATTACATACATGACACAGTGCCAGACTTGGCCTGTCGGGTTATTTATCGACACTCTGTGAGCTTTCAAACATAGTGGTGTTCAGTTAGCTAGCTAACTTGTCATCACTTATCGGCCTAAGTGCTTATGGCTAACGTTTGCCTGCTAGCTAGTTAGCACGTCTTCAACACTGGTCTTCACAAGCTTTCCTTGAGCACCGGCGGAAACTGCACTGAAGTTAGGCTGGCTATCGTTAGTTAGTTTAACAGATTCAAATCCAGTAGCATAACGAACACGTAAACATTGTAGCCTTAAGGAAATCCTTTTAAAACAATTTCCCCCGAAATCATGAATACGATGGTGGTTTTAACAGTCAACGTAACATTATGCCGAAACACCGGTTAAACGTCAGGGCCTCGCGGTGTTTCTTATGTCTCTGTCGCTTTTGTGAGAGCCAGACACCCCAGATACAGTTAGTTAACGAGTTCATAAACTGGTTGACATTGTGTTGTCGACACAGTCCAGCTGTCTTATACGTGATAGCTGTTGAATTAGCTGCAACGGATAACGTGATAGCATTGAAGTTAACTTCCTTAACTGCAAACATAGCTGCAGCTAACGTACATCACTTTTTATAGTGTTATATTGATGCAGTGATAATCAAGACTGTTGCATGTTAATTTGTTTGCATGACTTTGAATGCAATAACGCTCCTGTCAGTTTTAGTGGAAATATGATGATAATGTTACTTCCAGCAAGTCGTCTTTGTCTATATCAAATGTTGCTGTGGCTGTGTTGTAACTAATGTGGGTGTGAAAAAGTAGTGCTTTTTGTTTATTATTCAAGACATTTCTTTTAAATTATCAAATGCCATAATATGAAACCAGCAGGACTAGCAGAACTGGTTTTGCATTCCTGCAATTCACAATAAGAGTCCTTGCTTCTCCTTTGCAGTACACAGAAAAGGAGGAGGTAGTTTTATGGATGAACACAGTGGGGCCTTACCACAACCGACAGGAGACATACAAGTACTTCTCTTTGCCCTTCTGCGCGGGCTCCAAGAAGACTATCAGTCATTACCATGAAACACTTGGAGAAGCTCTGCAGGGAGTGGAGCTGGAATTCAGCGGCCTAGACATAAAGTTCAAAGGTAATCTACACTGACTTTCACCGGTTGAGCATATATGGATGTCTTCTCCTGCACACATCATGTAATCATATCTAACAACGATGATGTTGTCTTTTTAATTCACGTAGACGAAGTCATGCAGGCAACTTACTGTGAAATTGACTTGGACAAAGCCAAGCGGGATGCCTTTGTCTATGCCATAAAGAATCACTACTGGTACCAAATGTACATAGATGACCTGCCCATCTGGGGTAAGAGATGCTTCATTTACTTTTTAAAAACAAAGGTGTGTTGTGAGTTGTCCTGTGATATAGTTATTACTGTCATATTTTCTTCCTCTGTCTATGTCTATCTTTATCTTCCCTTCTGCTTGAGTTATGTATTTGCTTATTAGCTAATTGGCCGATTCCAAATGTTTGCAGTGATAATGGCACCTTGTGTATCAAGGTTGTGTATCAGTTGATTTAATATTGGAGAAGTTAAACCTTTAGTTCTTATTCGAAGGTGGGTGTGTCCATTCATACTTGGCCAACCTACTAGGGGTGGAACAATACACACACATATCTCATATATCAGATGGCTTACTGAAAGCCACTCAAGTCAGTACGTGTGGTGAATCTGCATGGTTTTTGTTCAGAGTCAGTCGAACAATGCAGTGTTCTGGTTGATGAGCAGCTATCTTCAGTTTCTGTCACCTCATCTGGCTCTTGTTATATTGTATTGTATTTTATGCACTGTGTTATATACTGCTGAGAAGCCACTTTAAATGGATCAGAGAAAACTATTGTTCAATTATAAAATCATGAATGTCATTTTTATAAAATTAAATCTGTATTTCTGATGTACACTTTAAGGACCTCCTTATCTCTGCTCTATTGAAAATGTATTGATACACAACATCAGGTTGACTTAGTAATCAAACCTTCTATTTCGTGACTAATTACACCCCTACAACTTACAGTATTGATACAGTCACATTTGTAGAAGAGCTTCTGATGCCAACCTGGACAGTGAGGTGCTCCTCTGTTGTTCTAGGCTAAGCAGGATATGAATGAGTCACTGTCATTAGACTCTTCTTAAGGCTATCACTCTAACAAGTTGTGAATGGGATCTCTCACACACTTGGTGGCAGTTTGTACAACGGTGCCACTCCTACAGTTGCTCAAACACAACTTTGTAAACTTATGTTGTAGGCAGTGGGTGGGGCACTCGCATTTTATCAGACAGTTCTCTCTGTTGTTATATTACCTGCTCATGCCTTAATGACAATAAATACATTTAGACTTTGACCTCATGTCCGGGTTGTCGTGTGATAACTGAACCAGTGCGCTTCATGTACGAGGCAGTGATGTGTTTAGTTGGGGTTATTGACATAAAACCTGGAGCTCAGTAACGACAGATCTCTAGTTCAACGCTTTCTGACCACAACACACTTGCAGCACCATTTACTACAGTCTCTTAAATTAGATTCACCTGCTTGGGGCTGGTAAACTAGAAAAAAAAGAAAACAGTACCTACCAAGACTAATATATGGTGGTTTGTTGAATAATACTGAATTATAAAGAGAGGTGTTTCTGTTATTTAGCGTGCCCTCGTTGACATAAATGGAGTGGACAAAATAATAGAAACACAGTTCAACAACACCACAAACTGCAGCTCCCAAAATGACCATAAAGTTGAATCCACACCTCTCTAAAACACATTAAATGAAAACTGAATATTATAACCTTTATGAAGGGAGAATTTATTGCAGTACTGTTGTTTTAGACTCCATTAGTTGCAGCAAGGTATTCCTAATAAACTGCCAACTGAGGGTATGCCACTGCAAATGCTTTACACAGGTGTTTTACCCTACCTGTTACCAATCCCATAACAAGATATAGTGTGATATTCAGTAGGAGAGGCAAAGGCATATTAAGGGCTTTGTGGAAAACCTTCTCATTATCTACTTGTTTTTTAGTGGCTTCACACTGTCTGCTGTATGTACTGCCACAAGAGAATAACTTTAAATTTCTGTATTAATATAATTTTGTCAAGTAACCATTTAGTGAAGAAATAGAGGGATACATTTTCAGTTTTTTTTGTAAGAGCTAGAATAATGGGCAGTCAGTTGGGAGTTTATTCAGAGTGATTGTTTTGCAAACTGTTTTGCTCAGAGTAAGAGATTGCTTACCATGGCCCACAGGGACAAACTTTGACAAGAACTTGAGGCCTTAAAGCTGAATATAATGGATGAATGCAGATGATGCTGTTAGAAAG